TCAAACATATCTTCATGTCCTTAAGAACAGACCTTCTAGAAAGTAGTAAGTCATTTGGAGTACATATTGATCTTGAAATATCATAAATAGTCTAAGGGGCAATTTGGTCATTTTACCCTAATTCTTGGCTTTGTTACTTCATGGGTTCTAATGATATCAAAATTCACAATATCATCAAACATCATAAAATAAAATATACTACAGAGTTTCATAACTTTTAGAGGTCATCTAGGTCATGAACCGAAGGTAAATTACCTTAGGAGTATTATGGTCATTTTACACCGTTACTTGGTTTAGCTACTTATTCTTATCCAATGACTACTAAATTTCACATGTAATCTTAACATCTCATAATATGCTCATAATTAAAATTTCATAGGAATCAGAGTTCATCTAGTTGTTTATTTTAACGTTACTTAAATCTTGAGCAATTTGATCGATTCAGGGCCTTAACTCTCGGTTCTTGGTCTTTTTCTTTCATGTATCTTTAATTCATGTTTGGTTTAAGGTTCATACAGAATCCAAGTTTTTCATGCAAATATTTCTTAAGAAAAGTCTAAGGTGGTTACTTACCTTATCGATGATGTTCGAAACCTCCATTCTCAATCTTTTGGTATCTGAATTACCTCAAATTTTCTTCCACAGATTCTTTATTGTATCTAGTTTCTGGAACCATAAATTTTTTCATGAGAAATGATCTATAAGATGGTTAAAATTGAGAAAAACCAAGGAAAGGTCAGATTATGGTTTGACATGGTCGGTTAAGTTGAATCGACCACGTCATCATCTTCTTCCGCTGGACAGGAAGTAGACGCGCATTTTATGTAATGTCGCCATCTGAAACTTCTCTTCTCCAACTCTATACAAGCGTTTCTCTCCTTGATTTCTTCTTGAAACTTAAATATGGTGTTACAAGGAAGAGCTAGAGAATGATTTTGTACCTTCTCATGGGATTTAGCCTAAGATATTCGCCTTCAAAATTTGTCCAAAATTTATTTTTTGGTCGAAACTCAAAATAGGGGATCCTTTATTCGGCAGCGATTCTAGGAGATTTCAAGGCTTGATTACTGCATGGAATCTATTTCTTATCCTTTTCTTAGCTAAAGGAATTGGGTTGGAGGAACGACTTTCAGTGTGTAACTTTAATTTTAAAAAATCATCATCAGTCTTCAACTCACCCGAAAATGCAGAAGATAGATCTCATGGGTAGATTGTTCTACGACGTTTTAGCTCTCGATTCCTTCATCAAACTTACTCAATTTGAAGGAAAATGGACCGTAGGCAGGAATTTGACCTTACCCCCAATTTGAGCCCGAAACTTATTTCCTTCAATTGGTCACTTTTATGAGTTATTTCTCTTCATGGTCTTCTATAGAAACACTCCTTGGAGGTGTTGAAACTGATTGGAATCAACCTTGCTCGACGAATTTGCGTGTAAGCTCGGATTGGATTTTGAAGTTCTTCAATGGCGGATTTGATTGGGAGAATGGTTTCTAGGCACTTTTAGCACTCGATTCCTTCATAGAACTTATGAGTGGTAATCTAGTTTAGAACTGTCGGAACAAATTTAAGGAGAAATGGTGGAGATTGCTCTCGAATTTGGAAGATACCCGAGAGTATGAGACCCAAAATCTAAACGCTTATTGCTTGTGATTGGGAGCTTGATTCAATTCGATTCTTGTTCCATACTATTGCCCCAACTTCAAACTTTATAGGGAAGCTTACACCGACATTGACATCTCTAGAATAGTCGTGATTTGGAGATTGAATTTTTTTGGATAATTCGTAAAAAAATTTCTCTCCAAACAGCAAGCTACCGACTTTCAATTTGAATTCTACCATTGGATGTGGTGATCTGTGAATGTTCTTGATTGTGTTCAATCTTGGAGAAGATCCAACGGCTGCATATTAAGATTAGATGGATTTTATGTACGAGGTCACTGTGAAAGTTCTGATTCTGAGCAGAGGAGCATTTTCATAGTTCTAAACATTCCTCCTCCTTTGGAGTCAGTTTTTCCCTTCCATTAACTTGAAATTTCTTTTAGTTTAGAAATTGAAAAATGTCCTTTTTCATCTTTTCGCCTGCCTTTTCCTTCCCAATCCTCTATCAAGGGGTTTTAAATCTTTAAAATTTACTTCTTAGAGTATAAAAATGTCTTAGCTTAAGATCTTGTCTTTGCTTCAATTCTTTCATTCCTTTCCTTTGTTTCCTTGGATTACTTTTATCCTTAAAGTTGGAGTGTTACAAGACAAGTACGTTTATTTTGGCTAGCATTGGTAGTCTGACCATGATACAAGAAAGTTATACTAAGATTTATTGGATTCTCACATCCCCTAATTAAGGGAAAGATCCAAGGTATATAAATAAGGAACATAGAAGAATATGTAATGGTACAGATATTAAAAAAAATAAAAAATCACAAAGTCACCTAAAAATGCATCCCGGCAAGACGCTAAAGATCCCACGGATCCCGCGTCTTCAATTTACCCATGAACCTACCAGAAGTCCTACACTTCAGCCACTCCTCAAAACTCACTTGCAAGAAAAGAAAACATGAATATTGAAAGAAAACGACCGAAGCCGAATGGTTTACCTCATCAGACATAAACGCCGGTGAAATAGAGACCTTCGATCTAACACAAACCACCAATGAGACACACAAGAGATTAACATAGCCGTCGTTCTTGAGAATAGAACGGTAGGATTCAACGAGTCCTATGTGAGCCAATCAGGAACCGCAGTCCAGACAACGTGTTCTTGAATTTCTGTATCTGAAAAGAAATGGCGATGGAAACGTCGTCGTTCGGGAGGAGAGAGAAAATTCTTAGAAAGACAACGTCTCGGGTCGGGTCGGATCTGGGTTATCCAGTACAAGAATAAATCCATGATCTTTGGCCCAAGTATGCGAGCCAATCAGGAACCGCAGTCCTGACGACCTCAGCAGCAGTCGCAGCCCAGTTGAGAGCTCGGTCCAGCAGACACAGAGCAACGACCCACAACCTATCCTTCCATTCCGCCCAATCACACAACCAGCTTGGGCCTTGACCCACATACCCGAGGCAACAACTCGAAGTCCACGCCTCGACCCGATTCATGACTCGTGCACGCGTCTTCTTCCCACAGCGACACGTGTCTCGCATGAAGACGTCGACTCCTTCCGCTTAATCGGCTCGGCTCGGCTCCTCCCCTCAAAACTTGGCCATCCGACTCGATATAGATAATTTGATACCGATTCCTACATTTTCTACCCTCATGAAACTGAATTTGACCTTAAGTAAGGCAATTAAATTCAGTATAACGTTCTATTTCCAAGTTCAAGTTGATTTTGACTAGAAATCTGAATTTTTAACAAAAATGAGATGGGCATTCTAATAGGAAATAACTCCCAACAATACTTTGAACAACTTCGGGAGACGAAATCCAAACGTACTCGAGTTTAGGGAGAACCAAGTAAGTGACCTTAGCATTAATATGGTTAGAAATTGATGATTGGTATGATGACACGTGCCCCGTAGTTTTGCACGTGTCATATGCTTGATATGTGTGATATGTATATGAAACGATATGACTATGATATGTTTGTGAACGATATGATTATGACATGTTTGTGAAACGATATGACTATGATATGTCTATGAATGATGTGTTTATGAAATGATATGACTATTATATGGTTATGATATGTGTGATATGTTATGATTATGAAATGTCGGTGATATGTTATGTTAATATTATGGTATGTGTTATGATGTGACGTGTTGATGATATGATATATGTTATGGTGTAACACGTTTGACGTAACAAAATATGTTGTGACGTATTTTATGATATAATATAATATGATATGTCAAAGGATATGTTATGCATGATGTGACACAAAAACCATGTATGTTATAAATGATACGAGATACAACTCCTATACATGCCTTAAAGACTATGTTGAAAAATGATATGATATGAAGGAAAATGAAATGGGGTTGGCAACGGTCGCTATTCCCAATAGGTGTCTAGCAACAACAGCTTTAGAGAATGCTCACTTGACCAAGAAAGGGACCTAGGAGGTGTGCGAACCGACTGGTAGGCCCTTACTCGCACTCGTGGGTCGTGTGTAGAACAACAAATAAACATCCAATTACCCATTTAGGATAGCCGCCCAAGGGAATATACACGGAAAGGATAAGTCTCATTCACGATTTTATGTGTTTGCATCTAACCCCAAAAGTGGAGTCACTTACTCAATATTTCTTAAAATACTCAAGTCACGCGATACTTCTATTTCAGGTAAAGGCGAGAGACTCATATTTATTTATTTTTAGACTTAAGTTAAAATATGGTATGGTGTTTTTATCTTTAATGTTTATTTATTTAGAAATTGTTATGTTATTTTAAAGATAACTTCGAACACGCAAATCCATGACAATGTTTTATGTTAAAGTTTCAAATGATTATTTCCACACAAATGAGTATGTCATGCATATAGTAGTGATTTTAGACAATCGGAAATCTAGAATCGTTACAAAATATGTCAAATAGAAGTTAGATAAACTTTCACAAGAAATCATACCAGGAGACTCTCACAATAAGGTTTGTAATTTTAAATAGTTGAATATATGAGAAAAATGTCAAAAAAATAATTGGAATAGCATCCAAAATGGTTATTAAGAGGCATGAAAAAAAAAAAATTCTGATCCAAATGGTATAAAGATATGGTTGATTTTTCGAATAATTTTTTTCACAGCACCCATCTCGAAGAATCTAATGCTTGTTAAATTAATAAGAAAATGAACGTCCTCACAACTTTTCCAACTTCATTAACGTAAAACCTTGTGAAATATTTGCTAGAAATAAAAATTTCTTATTTATAATTATTTATAAATTAAAAAATGGAAACGGTAATAAATAGATACACCATAATTGCATATAATAAGGAGTCAAATATGATATCTGGCCGCTAAATGTCCTCAATCATACCAAATATTTGCTTATAATAAAGAGTAGTAAAGAAAGAGTAGATAAGTTACCCGAGATATTTGTGTATAATAAAGAGTATAGTAAACCATAATTCAACCATAACCGTCTTTAAACTTAAGAACAATAATAAAACTAAGTATAACCGTCTTTTAACTTAAGAACAATAATAAAACTAAGTATAGGATGGAGCTTAACATTTTCCCACAGCCCTAAGGAACCCTCCAATGAAACCTCATTTGTTTGATAGGGCGGGGGGGTTAAGAGGAGGAGGACTCATTTTTGGGATCAGCTGGTTCGGTCTCCTCAATGAAGGCGTGCTTAATGATCAACCCTCCCTTCCACTTCTTATTCCATACTTCATACAAACCAAAATGGATTTCTGGGGATTCCTTCTTGCCGGTTGTTGGAGACGTAGCCTTGATTTTTGAGGATTTCGACTTGTCGGGTGGTGGAGACGTAACCTCGCTTTTTGGGGATTTCGACTTGTCGGATGTTGGAGTCGTAGCCTTGATTTTTAAGGGTTCGTTTAATGCATCAGGGATTCTTATCTTTGTAAGTTTCTCTACATTGTGAAGTTGGAATTTCTTATAAATGTATTTCCCTGACTTCCCAACCTTGGCCATCACATAAACATCGACATCCTTCCATCCAAACGCATCTGGTTTCAATGACACTTCGAAACCCACTTTATATGTCTTCCCAGACTCCACCTTAGTTGAGCATGCTACTTCCAGCCATGAAACTTGCTTCAGTTCTGCCTCACATTTTATTTCCCTGCAAAAATGACACAAATTTGTAGACAATAATTAATAGATAACTTATCTAACCATAGGATTGTGCGATAGCACGTCGGCTAGGGAAGAGAAAGGGTGTGAAAACTTGTCCCTAGCATACGAGTTTCCGCTTTAAGGTTTTAAAACGCGTCTGCTATGGGAAGGTTTCCACACCCTTGTAAAGGGTGTTTTGTTCTCCTCCCCAACCAATGTGGGACATCACAATCCACCCCCGGGGTCTAGCGCCTTCGCTGACACTCTTTCCTTTGGGCCCCTGCCAAATCCACCCCCTTTAGGGCCTAGCGTCCTTACTTACACACCGTCGTGTCTACCCCCTTTGGGGAATAGCCTTCACATAATCCGGTGTCTGGCTCTGATACCATTTGTAACGACCCAGGCCCACCGTTAGCAAATATTGTTCTCTTTGGACTTTCTCTTTTAAGCTTCCCTCAACACTTTAAAACTGGTCTGCTAGGGTAAGGTTTCCACACCCTTCATAAGGATCGTTCTCCTCCCCACATCTTATTACATTATTTAATTCTAAATAATTAAGTTATTAATTTTTATTAAGACAAATTATTAAAATAATTTAATTTTGGGACTAGATTTTAGATTTTTTTAGTTTATTTTGTAATAAATTTTAATACATATCCTTAAATAAATAATTTTAGTAATATTATATTTAGTCCAACTTATATTTCAAAAAATCAAATATGGTATGGGTAAGATTACATGCTGGGGAGGAGAACGAAACATTCTTTAAAAGGGTGTGGAAAGAGGACCATATTTATTAGTGGTGGGCTTGAGTCGTTATAAATAGTATCAGAGCCAGACATCGGGCAATGTGCCAGCGAAGAGGCTGAGCCCGAAAGGGGTGGACATGAAGAGATGTGCTAGCAAGAACGGTAAGTTCTGAAGGGGGTGAATTGGGGGTCTGACATCGATGGGAGAAGAGAACAGAGTGTCAGTAAGGATGTTGGGCCCTAAAGGGAGTAAATTGTGAGATCCCACATCGATTGAGGAGGAGAACGAAACACTATTTATAAAGGTGTGGACACGGAGGAGAAGAATAAAACTTTTTTTTTTATGGAAACTCTCTCTAGCAAACGCGTAAAAACTTCGAGAAAAACCCTAAAAAAAAAACAATATCAGCTAGAATATATTTATAAATCTAAATTTTAATTTAATTTTCATTCATTAATCAATCGATATGAGTTTGTTTAACCATTAGTATACTATATCGAAAAGCTTAATCGAGAAACTGACCCTTCGAGTTTCTTCCAATAGCGTTCATCGTTGCCCCATGTGATCTTAAAGCCTCTCGGATAAATTTCGACCTTCCACAGATCAAATGTTAGAAAACTGATAAAAATCTTGAGTTTCATACGATATAGTTTAAAGAAAAGAAAACAAAGAGGCTGTCCAATGGGCAAACCTTGTTGCCCGTCGTTTGAAAGGCATTTTCTTCTGGTACTCTGTGAGGCCCCTTTTGCTGTTCCTCTTTTGTTTCCTCTTGCGTGTTCTTTTTCTTTTCCTCTTGCGTTTCCTCTTGCGTGTTCTTTTTCTTTTCCTCTTGCGTTCCCTTTTTCATTATTGGATTATTACAACCTTCCACAACAAAAATTAAGAGCTTCAATGTATGCTTGTTTGTATCTGTAAAATTAGCTTAACTAACTATTTATAAGATGGAACAAAAAGGGTGTTAGTGGATAAGAACAACACGACATTTGAAAAAATCGAAAGATTAACGTGGAAAAGTAAAAGATTTTGAGTGATAAACATGGTGTTAAAAAGCCTCCCCTACTTTAATTAACTTTTTGACTTTGTTCGGGTAAAATAGAGTTTGAAGAATATTTGGTAAATTTTAGAAATCTTGTTTGATTGTGAATTTGCAAACCGAACTTAGTTTTTTACTTGTATCTGAGATCCCACATTGACTGGAGAAGGAAACGAAGCTTTCTTTGTAAGGGTGTGGAAACTTCTCTCTAGCTTTTAAAAATATTGAGAGGAAGCCCGAGAGAGAAAACCCAAAAAGAACAATATCGATTAGTTATAAACTTTGGCTGTTACACTCTATGTGTTCCTTTGTCTTGTTCATCTTGAAGGAAAGTCCAAAAGTGAAAGTAAAAAAAAAATGACAATATCTGCTAGCAGTGGGTTTGGGATGTTACACTCTATGTCTTGTTCACCTTGAACGGAAGTCCAAAAGAGAAAGTTCAAAAAAGATAATATTTGTTAGATGTGGGCTTAGACGGTTACACTCTATGTGAACATTCTTCCTTTGTCTTGTTCACCTTGAAGGAAAATTCGAAAGAGAAAGTCCAAAGAGGATAATATCTTCTAGCGGTGAACTTAGTGAAACTTCTTCCTTTGTCTTGTTCGCCTTGAAGGAAAATTCGAAAGGGAAAGCCCATGGAGGATAATATCTGCTAGTGGTAAACTTAGGCTATTACGCTCTATGTGAAAACTTCTTCAATTGTCTTGTTCACCTTGAAAGGAAGTCCGAGAGGAAAAGTCTAAAGAAGATAATATCTGCTAATGGGGAATTTAGGTGGTTACACTCCGTGTGAAATGTGTTCTTTTGTCTTGTTCACCTAGAAGGAGAATTCGAAAGGGAAAGTCTAAATAGAATAATATCGGCTAGCGGTGAACTTAGGCAGTTACATTCTATGTGAAACTTCTTCTTTTGTCTTGTTCACCTTGGAGGGAAGTTTGAAAGAAAAAGTTCAAAGAGGATAATATCTGTTAGCGGTGAACTTAGGCGGTTATACTCTATGTGAAACTTCTTCCTTTATCTGGTTCTTTGTGTTTTGTAACAGTTCTACACGTAAAGAATAATAATAAATAAAAAAAAATTAAAACTTCAAAGGAATAAAGGTAATATTCTTGGAGGAAGCATATTGTGTGAGCAAGGATGGATGAATGTTAAACGTATACATGATGAGTCAAATTTGAGCTCTTGGTTAGAAGAATTTTGCTATAGTAGAGTGTATCTTCATCTTCAATTCATCCTCAAATGCTAGGTAGAAATGGAAACGTTTCCCATGGTGACCACCTTTAATAGAACAAAGAATTTCCATTTAGGCAAGTAAGGGGAGAGTGACTTTATCCACCGGCTCACGAAAAACGTTATAATTGACTGTTTAGAGTGTTTTTGTATTAGTTATTATTGATGATAGAGTACGATAGTATAGGTTATATGCTGATATGAAAATATTCCGTAACGCTTTTGATTAAAATTGTAATATGTTTGTATATTTTTAAATTCTAATAACATTTATTCAATACTTATTTATTTGTTTGGTACTTCAAACCATGGACTGTTACATACAATTTTGCATTTTAAAAACAAAAAGTAATGCCATGGAGATTAACAATTTTAGAATATAAATTTATAAAATTAATAAAATCATTCAAATACATATGTGGGAGTTAAACAAAAGAGTTATACAAAATATTCAAATATGGAATACTATGACAAAATATGTAACTCCTACCAATGACCGCTATTTTTACGAGCCATCCTATTCAATGTTCTTAATATCATGTGTCTATATCATCAAGACAACACCTAGGTGCATCGCCTCCATCGAGTTCGTTTGGATTTCTATGGTCTACTAATTCCATGGTTCTTACCACCCTACATTTGATCTATCAAGCCTCGTCACTCCTCCTTCCAAGTGTACTTTACTCATCTAGGTTACTCGGGTTTCTAGATGTACTTAGTTGATTTGCTACTAATCTTATTGGTTTGTCTAGGTCCTTACGTGATATGTGTAGGAGAACGTTGATGCCTCATCAATCTCGAACTCTAGTGTCATTTAACTGTTGGGATTCCTCGTAATTAATTATTTAGTTTTTAATAATAATTTTTATTATTTTATTTGTAATTTAATTATTATCCATCGTATGAAAATCTAGATGTAATCTTGAACAGTATGTGGTTGACATACAAGAGGATCGTGTTCAAGTAATAACCTAAAGAGTCTATAAGATATGGATAAGGTTGGGTGCCTTACTTTTGATAGCACTATTGATATAACCCACTTTGTAACTGTTACAAATGATTTGATCCAAATCGTTCATTTGGAGACAGGTAAGTGGGGGTATCCTATGCAATGAGTTTGTATAAGACTAGACCAAGAAATATTTAATCACTCTTTATAATTCCGTTAATTGAGAAGATTAATATTTCAGATGATGATCATATGCGACTTGATCTTAATCCTGTGGACCGTATGTAGAACAGTAAATACATATCCAATTACTCATTTAGAATAGCTGTCCAATGAAATATACACGAAAAGAATAGGTCTCATTCACGATTTCATGTATTTGCATTTAACCTCAACAGTGGGGTCACTCACTGATTATTTCTTAAAATAGTAAAGCCACACACTACTTCTATTTCAGATAAAGGCAAGACGCTCTGATAACAGTATCGCAAGCGAGACCATAACACATGCATAAAATACTTGTATTTATTTTTTTAGACTTACGTTACAATAAGGTGTTTTTGTCTCTACTGTTTATTTATTAAGAAATTGTTATGTTATTTTAAAGACATCTTGGAACACATAAGTCCATGACAGTATTTTATGTTATAGTTTCAAATGATTATTTCCACACAAATGAGTATGATAGGCTTACAATAGCGACTTTAGACTATCATAAATCTGGGGTCGTTACAAAATATGTTAAATAAAAGTTAGATAAACTTTCACAAAAAATCATACCAGGAGACTGTCACAATATGGTTATTAATTTTAAATTGTAGAATATATGAGAAAAATGTCAAAAAATAATTTCAAAAAAAAAAAAATCCCGATCTAAACAGTATAAAGATATGGTTGATTTTTCGGATAATTTTTTCAGTGACACCCATCTCGAAGAATCTAATGCTTGTCAAATTAACAGGAAAATGAACGTCCTCATAACGTTTCCAACTTCATTAAGCTAAAACCTTGTGAAATATTTGCTTATAAATAAAGGATAAAATATGATACATATGTAAACCGTATGGAGTATGCAAACGGCACGGAAAGACTAGATATATTATACAAGATATTTGTCTATAATAAAAAGTTAAATATGATATATACAGTAAACCATAATTCAACTATAACCGTTTAAACTTAAAACAATAAAACTAAGTATATCATCACCTTAACATTTTCCTACAACCCCAAGGAACCCTCCAATGAAATCTCATTTTTTTTTGGGATAAGCTGGTTCGGCCTTCTCAATGTAGGCGTGATGAATCGTCAACCCTCCCTTCCACTTCTTATTCCATACTTCATGCAAACCAAAATGGATTTCTGGGGATTTCGGCTTGTCGTTAGGTTTGTCGGATGGTAGAGGCAACCGTGATTTTTAAGGGTTCATTGATATCATGAGACATAACAGTGTACTTGTATGTGAGATCTCATATTGACTGGAAAGGGGAACGAAGCTTTTTTTTGTAAGGGTGTGGAAACTTTTCTTTAGCTTTTAAAAACCTTGAGAAGAAACCAGGAAAAGAAAGTCCAAAGAGAACAATATCGGTTAGTTGTGGGGCTTAGGTGGTTATACTCTATTTGAAACTTCTTCCTTTGTCTTGTTCACCTTGAAGGAAAGTCGGAAAGTCCAAAAGATAAAGTAAAAAAATGACAATATCCGCTACAAGTGGGCTTGAGCTGTTACACTCTATGTGAAACTTCTTCATTGTCTTGTTCACCTTGAAAGGAAGTCCAAAAAGGATAATATCTGTTAGCTGTTCTCTTAGACCGTTACACTTATGTAGAATTTCTTCCTTTGTCTTGTTCACATTGAAAGAAAGTCTAAAAGGGAAAGTCTAAAAAGGATAATATCTGGTAGCGGTGAACTTAGGCTGCTACACTCTATGTGAAACTTCTTCATTTGTCTCGTTCATCTTGAAGGGAAGTCCGAAATGGAAAGTCCAAAAAGAATAATAACTATGTTGAGATATATTATTTATGGAATATATCTTAGATATTATATTTTAATATTTTTTCTTTATGATTTGATTTATAGTATATTTTATTTTATTTTCAATATTTAATTAGTTTATATTTTTTTTATTTAGTTGGTAGCTTGTATCCTATTCAAAGGTTATGAATATCAATGAATACACACCTTCCCAATTCTATTTTTATTTCTACGTCTCATTCTTAACAATCTGTTAGGGGTGTGCTTAGACTGTTACACTCTATGTAAAACTTTTTCCTTCATCTTGTTCACCTTAAAGGGACATTCGCAAGAGAAAGTCCAAAGACGACAATATATCTGTTAGTGTTGAACTTAGGCCGTTACACTTTATGTGAAACTTCTTCCTTTG